AGCTCGTTTAAAGGCTCGTTCATGAATCAACTCCAGTTCTTAGGAAGGTGATGAAGCTGTCAACGCATGAAGGAAGGTTGCGTTTAAAACTAAAGCAGCCACCTTATTGTAATGTTAAGGGGTTTTGTTTTGGTCTTTTTTACTTTTTAAAGCTTCACTTAGCAATTTGTTAGTGCACTGCTGCTGCATAATCAACCTAAATCACACACTGGGGATGCAATGAAAATGAGCATCATGTCCTTTTCTAACTGACATGCACTCATTACTAAAATAACAACTGAAACTGAGTTGTTCTCAGTTCATAAGGACCAGACAGGAAGAGTATACATGGAAAAGTAGAAAAATAACGCTCCAGCCTCCATCAGAAAACCAGAAATGTATTTTTTTCCCTCTCTTTTCACTTCTTAAAGTAATATTTTGCCAAGAGACTTAATAGTATTTGGTAGAAACAGATTATTAAACAAAATTAATATAATTAAAATGTAATTATAAGGAAGACATAGGAAATTCAATTGACCCTTGGTATGCGCATGAATTATTAAAACATGATGAGCCACGATGAACACTGGTGAGCTTTACACACAACATTAATCCCATTATTGTCACGTGATTGTAGGTTTCAAATGTATGGAGTAGTTCTTTTTCATTACTCTGATATTTCAGAATTTTAATTAGAGAAATTGAAAAGTTTATATGCAATGACTATGTCTCATTCATATTTTGACAAGTTAATGTCAAGTAATAAACTAAATTTAGTCAAAGGTCATAGATGGACTGCCAAATCATTAACTAATTAATTTCTTAAATTACAGTATTTTAAGACATGTAGATGGCTGGTGTGACAGAAGTGGATGCTAGGTATAGGATGATGGAGCAGCTAGATGAAGAGGATTAAAGCCTCTGATAGACCTTTAGCTTACAGGTCTTTTTGCATTTTGGAATTTTATATTTTCAGTAAGTATTTGGGTGGAGTTTCTGTTTAGAGGGGTGCAATGGTGAAAGGTTGACATCAAGACAGTCCTGAGTTTAAATCTGCCAACCTGCTGGGGCCTCTCTGCTTGGAGTTTGTACGCTGGCCATCAGTGTTACTGTGGGAGTGAATTGTTGTCAGTCTCTATGTCCTGCAATAGACTGACAATAATGGTTTGTTTAGTTTTTTACTGTTTCCTAAAGAGTTGTGTTTGTATACTTCACCCTCCAAACTTATCTTCAATAAAAAATTATTATTTTACAAGAAACATAACAAATTTATTGCTATTATTTTCAGCATTATTTTCAATAATAACAATTATTGCTTAAAAGCAATTTGCATGTACATAAATTACAGGTAAAGAAAAAGAATTGAACAAATAAAAGAAGTAAAAGGCACATATGATAGGTTTACATTCCAACATAATTTGAAATTCAGAATAAATATAGCATCAGTCAAAGGAGCTTGCAAAGAAAAGCGTCTGGACTGAAGAAGCTTCTTGGATGAGAGGTGAAACGTCTTCAAGCAACTTAATGGTATAGAAATGATATCTTGAATTTGGATGTAAACATGTTCACCCGCATGTTTACATCATCTCTAAAATTAGAAGTATCCTGTCTCAAAGTGACCCTGAAAAACTAGTTATTGCATTTATTACTTCTAGGCTGGACTACTGAAATTCATTATTATCAGGATGTCTTAAAAACTCCCTGAAAATCCTTCAGTTAATCCAAAATGGGTCCCTGTTAAATCCAGAATTGAATTCAAAATCCTGCTGTTAAGGACTTAAATAATCAGGCCTCATCCTATCTTGATGACCTTGTAGTACCATATCACCCTATTAGAGCACTTTGCTCTCGCACTGCAGGCCTACTTGTTGTTCCTAGAGTATTTAAAAGTAGAATGGGAGGCAGAGCTTCCAGTTTGGATTCAGGAGACAGACACTATCTCTACTTTTAAGATTAGGCCAAAAACTTTCCTTTTTGCTAAAGCATATATTTAGGGCTGGACCAGGTGACCCTGAATCCTCCCTTAGATATGTTGCAATAGGTGTAGGCTGCTGGGGGACTCCCATGATGCATTGAGTATTTCTTCTTCAGTCACCTTTCTCACTCACTATGTGTTAACAGACCTCTCTGCACTGAATCATACTTGTTATTAATCTCTGTCTCTCTTCCACAGCATGTCTTTTATCCTGTCTTCCTTATCTCACCCCAACCAGTCGCAGCAGATGGCCCCGCCCCTCCCCTGAGTTTGGTTCTGCTGGAGGTTTCTTCCTGTTAAAAGGGAGCTTTTCCTTACTGCTGTCGCCAAAGTGCTTGCTCACAGGGGGTCATATGAATGTTGGGTTTTTTTCTCTGTATGTATGGCTCAGCTAGGGCCATACAATATAAAGCGCATTGAGGTGACTGTTGTTGTGATTTGGCGCATATAAATAAAATTGAATTGCATACATACATATTTAAACAACAACTGACAGTGTACTATGCATTATAGATTATTATGGTGGGAAGATGCCAAAAATACAAAGGTTAAAAGGTAAACATATTATCCAAAATACAAAATGTCTTGTGTTATTAGTTACAATATACATCAACATGTTCATGTACTCTAGATGCAGGTTTAAGGGACAAAATAAAAGGTGTTCATGTGGCCATCAATAAACGGTAAACTACATACTCAAAGACATGAATACAAACAAACTGCAGCGAAACCTGCTTCAGAGAAAGACAAGATTTCCTGTTTGAATGTCAGTAAAAATGGGCAAAAGGGTGCAGAGCACAATGAGGCTATCTGTATTGTATGTATAATTTATCACATTTAAGCCACACTTAAATGGAAAAAAAAACCCTACTGAGCTGAGGGACCATGAAATATGAAACACGACAAGCAAACAACAACAACAGACTTGTTATGAAAGAAAATCAGACAATATGATGTGTGTGAAGAAAAAATAGAAAATGTGTCAGAATGGCAGAGAATAGTGTTTGATTAGGACTTGTGTTCGCAAGCCCGTACTTTCAAATTTCTCTCAAAAAAGAGAGAGAGAGCACAGAAATCCCTAAAAACCTAAACAACAAGCCTCATGTGTGGCTGTGAAACTTCTGCTTGAAGCTTCACAGTTTTACAAAAGATGAGCAATGGTATCAGAAATTATCATGCTTCTCTGGTAAAAAGGCAAAAAACACATGTCTGTGGCCATAAAACCACTGAGGCTACAAGTCTGCTCACACTGCACTAGAAAACTTATAAGATATTTAGCAAGTCAAATTTGCTCAACTGTATCGATCTGTTTTTAATGAATTCAGCCCCAGCTGAGCCATACTTTTCTCTTATTTGGAACGTCAAAACTTTCCAAATTTCCAAATAATATCCCACTTTTCCAGAGAAAATAGAGCTTTGGCTCAAATGTGTTCTAGATTTAGAGTTGATTGCATGAAATTGACAAGTAAAGCATGGCATCAGAAATTAAAATACTTGCTGTTGAACATTCACACTGCTTAGTCACTATTACAGTGAGTAAAAAAGCTTAGAAAGCTAACCAGCCTAAAGATTCATTCTCACTATCACCAGCATCCAACAAGCCATCAAACTCAACTTAAAGGCTTGATCACTACATAGAAAGTAGTGTATATGACACCTGAACTTGAATGTTTTATCGTTTTTCCAGTTGCAATGTTTTTGATATTTCAAAAGCAAGAATTTCACGCAGACTTGTCACATAAAAACAAGATTTACCAGAACCTTCAAATGGGGACTCGTGACTACTAATGTCAAACTTTGTGTTTGGATATATTTGTCACTAGAGCATGGCTGTGCCAGCAAAGGAAGTTGTATTGAAGATATATCATGTTAGTCAAAGTGTATCAAAGCTGTAATATTTAAAAAAAAAACCTTACTGTAAAAAGGTGAGCTGTTGTTTTGCAACAACACAGAATGCCCCCTCTGGTACATAAGCAGTGCTGTGTGCTTCTCTTTACCTGACTGTTTTAAAAATTCAGTGTCACTGTGACATGTTTGTGTTGATGTCTAGCATCAGCAGACACTGCTACAGCACTGACGTAATTCAACAACCAACCTGCATGATAATCTGATCTTGCTCTCTAATCTACATCATCTTGGCTTTCTGCGGGGAGTGGAAGTCCAGTCATTGCTTGATGCTATTGGCCAGAGGAGCAGACAGCTTGGGTTGGTAGACTAAGTACAAAATTTAGGTGCCACTACTACTGTCAACAGCAGCGAAGCCTGAAAAACTATGAGTCAATTGTGCTGTTGCACTGATGAGTACGGTTGTTGTCACAACAGCGTCAGTGCATCGAGAATACTGTCTACTTATTAATGAAGTAAAGATGTAGATGTGTCACTTTGCTTAAATTTACAAAATCCCCAAACTTTTTATGTGTTTTTTATTTGTTTTATTTGATGGGTCTATGCACAGTTGTGGTCATGTACTCATGGTGATTTTGAGCTATTAATGATCTCTTACACTGATCTTTTTACAGGGTGAAAGGATTTACAGCATACAACTTAATCCAAATCCAAAATAAACTCTACAAGTTTGAGTTTATTTTTGGATTTTCCCTAATCCACACACACAGGGTCAAATACATACATACATACACCCTTGGACATTTAACCTTTGGTTATCTGTTAGAAAGCTGCACCTCAACAAGATATTTTTGGTAGCCATCAACAGCTTTTGCATAATTCTGGCTGAATGTTTGACCATTCTTCTCTTCTTGGCAGAACTGGAGGAGTTTAGTATCTAGGCTCATTTTTACCTGTTTCCTTTTAACTATCTGAAAACCTAAAAAAATCATTCTAAAGTTGGCTTTAGAGAATAGGTTTTTTCTAAAACCAACTGTGAAGTCAAATAAAGAACAATCTGACTGTCAGTGATGTGAGAAGAAGTCATAAATACATCCACCTACACAGAAAGCAGCAAGAAAGGTTTGTCAGACTGCAAAGTGGAGTGATGTCTGTTATTATTACTATTTATGTACCATGTACAAAGAGCTGAATGCCTTACCCGCTTGCGCAAGTTACAGGTGAGGATGAGGTTGCGGGAGAAAGAGTTGGCGAAGGAACTGTAAAACTCCAAAACTTTGAGCAAAGCTTCCCTCTTGATGACGTGGAGGTCACAGTAGGTAAGCGCTCTAACATTTGCACACGCATGTGCAAGAGTCGTTTCTTTCCAAAAGACATCTCCGAACACGTCACCTTTTCCTGAGGACACAGTAAACAGGAAGAGCATTTTATTCATCAGTGACAACTATCGCAACATCAATTGTTTACAAAGATGACAGCTGAGGTAAAGCACAGAACAAGCCCTGCATGCCCCACACATTCAGTAAATTAATACTGTGAAGTTACACAAGTTATTCAGATTCCTGCTGCTGTGGCACAGCACAGCCTAATGTTGGAAATGCTTACCAACAATGAGTTACAAGCACGAACACACTAAGAAGAAGTGGGGGAAAAAAAAGAAATCCTGTCCTGTTATCTATGAAACTGGAAAATCATGTAAGATTTGTTTTGTTATATAAATCTGTTGTGTCTGCTTTTGTTTGGTAAAGAAAAATACATCTATGTATGTATACAGCGGCTCTTTTTATTTTGCAATTTGCAAGTTGGGAAAAGGTCCAAGTTTAATAATTTATTTTATTATACAAACACAAATTTGCATTTAAGAAAACCTGACTTTTCTTTGTATAGGCTGTCAGTTATTGGACATACAAAGAAAATCATAATTGGCAAAATACAGTATCCGCAGGTCACACTTACAAAAAACGGTAAATGACAATCGGCCGATAAAACTGCAATTTGTGCATCTCTAGTTTAATTGAAAAAATATAGAAGCCTTTAAAAAGTATCTCATAGAAAGCAAGAAAAAAGTGTAGACCACAGTCATATAGGACTGGGGAGCTGTCTGCGATCTTCTGGCAACTACGACTCACTACACCTGTCACTAGGCCTGAATGAATGAGGCTGAATATACTATAAGAGCTGCTTGTAATGTATAACTTGAGATGTAGTGATTTACTAGCAATTTCTGAGTATGTCTACAAACAACCCTGTCGATGTCTGATATGGAGCCACATATACCGTTGCTGCATATTTCTGTGTTTTACCACCACCCACCAAAGTGTGAGTTTACATGAGTTAAATGGTCACACAGCATGGAAATGTCATTTAAGAAATACATTAATATTTAATGAGAATGACATTAAATCTCTGTGTCAACCACACTCTTCTTCTTCTATCAGTCTACGCTTTGTTCCTTAGCAACAGTTTTACCTGGCCAAGTCCATAGCAAATAGACCTGCTGATTTAACCATTTTCATCATTAAAAGTTGATGGCAGCTGGCATGTAGTGGGTATGGATACTGTTATGTTGCCAGGTAGATAACTAATAAACCATAGAAGAAACCAGAAAAAATATTTTTTGAAACATTGACTATTGAGTTCTGCTTCACCCTTGGGTGTTGATCAATGTGTCTGAAGTATAGCAAATTTCTTTGAAGCACTTAGTCTTTGGAAATAGAAAGTTCACCATCCATGACATGCTCAGTAGATGGTTCTTATATAGCCCTATTCTACTCCACTTGAGCATTCCAAGTGCTTTATAAGCATGTTGGCACTGTTGGTAAACCTGGGTGAGCTACAGACAGCCCATCTAGCTGCCTCTATTGCCAGATGGAGCAAGTGTACAAATCATGTGGTGCAACTGCTCTGTAGGCTACTCCTGCTTGTGCAGTGGTTGGTCTGCCAACCAGTCGCAGAGAAGAGCAAACGTGTCTACTGTAGCCACTACCTGTGTTTTTTGTACTTTTTAAAAAACTATTAAATACCTACACACACAGAAAACAACTGCAGTAGCATGACAGAGTATGCACGAGGCTGCTACATAACCTTTGTTTTTTTTTCTAGGAGATTCATAAAGTCTTTAAAATCTTTTTAAAAAATGCAGTAGGGAACATATCTGAAGAACAGCAGAATTTAAAAAATATCTTAAAAAAGTTATGACCTAGTGAATAAACAAAAATTCAGCTAAAACCTTCTGGATGATGAAGCAGATGACATATAGCAGACGTATATATGTATAGCAGATGAATGAATATTTACACTTGTGAGCACCTCCTGAGCAGTGCCATGCTTGTTGTCATAATAACAACACAGGAAGAGAACAACAATTATAGGAACGAACGAATACATCATGTCATCAAAAAATATTTGTGATTGAGGAATTCAATGGGTGCCTGATAGTCAAAAAATGAATGTGTATCAATTGACTCCAAAAAGGCTGTGTTTCCTGATATGAAAAGAAATGAAGTTATAAAACACAAAAATAGTTTAAAAATGACCCATTATGAAATCAAGATATCTTAAATAGGCAGCATACAGAATATAATGGTGCTTCTGCATGACTTTTCCCAGAAGACATCTGTGCACTCCGAGCTCAAGAAAGTGAAGACGAGACTCAAATCTGTGTCAAACTTGCCACAACTATCGTCTCAGCATATTTCTGACAGCTGACCTGGATAAGACGTGACAAAAAGCAGTCCACGCTGTCCACAAGCTGTCACAACACGCTGAGTAATACACGTATACTGCTTCCAACATACAGTCGCAAAATAAAGCATGTATGCCACTGTGGGTGTGTGAGTGAGTGAATCTCATCTTGACAATCCCTCCTTTGCACCCTCGAGGGCCCATTTCCTTCTGAACATCTAACAGAGGCTCAGGCAGCAGGACTCATCTGGAATGAGCTCCCTGGAGACCCACAGTTCCTTGCCAATTAGGAGTCTGGATGTGGATGTGGTCACGCGGACCAGGGGGTGCTGAAGATGGTGGCAATGTGTGCACTGAATCTAATGCGTACAATGAGATTATAGATGGATGAAGATGGATACATTGGGGCCATAACCCCCATTTCCAGGCTCTGCAATACTCCTGATCACTCAAACACATCTAAAGCCTTCATATTATTCTGCCTGTCTGCTAGAAGGAAAGTGGTGTACAGTGTTAGACTATAGATAAGAAGCAAAAAAGAAATAATCAACTCTCATATGCAGTCTTAAAGCCTAAATGTTATCTTTTTGACTGCAGCCAAAGGTTACAATTTTTGGACTAACAGTGTAAGTCTTAAGTTATCAGCAAACACTGATAAGCTTTGTTAGAAAGTTGCATTCATACCTGCTAATAAGTACCAAGTAACAGACTAATAAAGTACTAGAATTTTACTCACCAAAACTGAAGCATAAACTTTGTTGCACAGTCTATGTCATAGCTCAGCATATATTTTAATCTGGGGCAGAAAATGTGTGCCCACAGTAGCCTGCAATGGGCTATTTTGGGTCGCTATATAGGTTTTCTATGGGCAAGACTATTGTGGGTTGCCCACAGAAAACTGTAATGGGGGACCTTCAGGGTAAAACTACTATGGGGCCTGTATGGGCTAACCCACAAAGCAGCCACAGAGGGTTTTCTCTGAGCAAGCCCACCGTCGGGTACCCAGAGAATTTCCTCTTGGGGATCCAAAAGGGCAAAATTGCTACAGGCCCCACATTGGCTACCTTTGCCCATAGAAAACTCATGTGTTCTGCAGCTCTAATTAGAAAACTGTCTCAAGCCCCTTGTGTCTGCAACCTGTTAATTAATGAAACCACACCCTTAATCTTAAGAATTAGTGTCACTAGTGGTGACAGCAAAAGTTGCAGGCCTTGAAACAAATAGCTGATGGGTTGTAGCAGCCACCACATTAGAGGCTAAAAATCATGAACCACCCTAAAATGGCAATTAACAGTTAGCATTCTCTAAACAGATAGATTGCAAATTGCATTTTTCTTGCCCTCATCAATCATATGCTGGTCTGCCAGTCTGGCATCAAAAATCTGAGATGATGCAAAGGAAATCAGCTGACTAGCATGTTCTAATATTTGTTCATGTTGTTTGGACAGGTTTTCTCTACTATAGAGAATCTTCAACAACAGTTCAGGATTTTCTGTTTTCTGCAATCCAGATGTTGATATTATTTAACCATCTATGACTAACAAAACCCTCACAAGAACAGCTCATTCAGATGGCTGGTAGTGAAAATGTTACAGCATGGCCTGGTAAACAAAGCCCACATTTTACTCCACCTTTGCTTTTGTGATCAACTTTTTGGCTTCTCAGGCCAGACCACAAATTGTACGACCATAGCACTGGGATGTTGCACTCCTTCCTCTTGTAGAATCTTTAATTTGACTGTTTTATATGCTGTGAAGGAGTGCTACCTTTTCCTGATTGGGGCATGCACTTGTTCCTCATCCTGCCTTCCTCCCCTTTCTGCTTCTTCTCCATTCTGGCTTCTGTCACCAACTGATTGGATCAGTGCCATAGTTCTATGCTGCACCCTCAGAATATATATATTTCTGTTTTTTTAAAGGGCTGCCAACTTGCCATTCAAGGCAGCTGTGATTTAGTATGAACACCTAAACAATCTCTGCTCTTTGTGAGTAACTATATGTGAGACAAACAGAGTTCAGGGTAGGGTTAGAATTCTTTTGCATTGTTTTCTATAGTTCTTTATCCTCTTGCTATTCCCTGGAGAATGAGCCAAGAGTTAGATCTTTCTCTCTGTTGACTTAGATGGGGTCAGGGGCCTCACTTCCATTTTATTATTTTTAAATAGAATAATTAGGTAGGTTGGGATATTTCTGCATGAATTAAACTTTTTGTTTGTTGATTAATTAGCACCCATTTGCCCTGGTTGAGCTGTGCTTGATTTGTATTTCCACTGTATAAACTTTACTCAATCAGAGTGTGTCCAAACTTTGCTTGGACCTCTGAACATTACTTTCCTGTTCCCTAGGAAGCTGCGGTGTAGCAGTACAACTATCTTCTTTCTTTATTACTTCTATTCTATTATTATTTCTTTCTTTATTTCAACATGAAAACTAAAATCATTGAAAACGCTGAAGAAAAGAGACAAATCAATCACAGGTCAGTAAATTAAATGAATGTGAAGCGCATTTCAGCATGACCTGATCTTAGAATGCCAATAAACAAGCTACCCTCTAACTCATATTAACCTAGTTTACTTGTTCAATCACATCTCATCCCGAATCTGTGTCAGTATAGTTTGAGTGCTTTAAATGTTCAATTTGGGGAAAACAGTCTTGTTTTTTTCTGATCTTTCACTAAGGAACCCCATGCTGAAACAGCCTTGGCAGAGAAAACAA